TAGCGTTTGGGGTGGGGGGTGGGAAGGGGGCGATCCGCCCTCGGGAGGCATCTGACAAAGCAGTATTTTTTGTCTACTGCAAACTGATGTATACTTTACTATGAGACAGTAGACTGGCCTTCACACATCTATCCGGCCCTCAGTAAGGACATGTGACAATATGCGACGGGTGCTGAAATTGTTATTCTGCTCATTTCTCCGCAGGTCTACTACAATTCCCACAACGTTCACTCACGATTACACATCCAGTCGCATAGTCGGTGACTCCATCTGTTCCAGTATTCTACCCCACAACCCTGCTTGGACTTCACTGGGAGTAAGACTTCCGATGTTACACTGGCCTCGCCGATTGTCCTGATGACTTCACAGTTTTGGAACACTTATGTGAGCACAGGTGGTGCATTTACTACACTTCCGCACGTAACTGACACTGTGGCGTGGTGGTCGTCTTTTACAGGTTCTATAAGACGTGGGGATCACGAAAACCTGGTTGCGCTTGCGTTCGACAAGTGGACGCAATACAGGTTAAGAGAAATGAGAAAACGTAGGAAGATCGTTGGGATGTTTTTGGCTGGTCGCCATAGACATATAATCCCCTTAGACAGGTGGCCGTAATTCTACAATAGCTCATGTGCCTACAGCAGACTTGAAACAGCTTATGTGTAATTTCATCAGAGCTCTTCCGATTACTTCTGTGTACATTCAAGAGCACACCAAACTCAACCCTCTTTCGTTTTTTAAACACAAAGTGATTCAACTGGATTGCTGGCACTTAACTTCAACTTTATTGTAAACGTGACTCATGGGCACTCATCATCATCATACACGTTAGCTAGGAATAGGGAACACCTCAGCTACTGTGCCGCAATACACAGAAAAAGGATGAAAATGCAACTGGTGCAAGCCGGCTGAGCTACCGGTAACGGATGGGCATCGTTCCGGTAAGCTACCAGTTGGCTACTGTGCATCAAAAAAATTATTGTGCAAAATTATGTAAGGCTAAATAATGAGATCGTGGTTGGAGAGGGAGGCTAAGATGGGTGGGGTGGGACAAAGAAACTCACAGCACGAACGCCACTGAGGTCGGCACCTAGCCATATCAGCAAGTGTGTCCAACCAAACGTGTTCATCACCTTTCGGACTCCAACCAGGGAGCCGAGACGCTCCAACCGAGGCCAGCTCAGAAGTGAGGGCCTTCATTCCTCTTGACCAAGTCATCGCTTGGCCACCCCTCCTCTTCTTCCATCCACACCGCCGGCGCGCAAACAAAGCACGTCGCGAGATTCGATGGGCTGGCATGCGTAACACGTGGCCGAGCCATCGGAGCCTGGTGATGGTTTTGTTGTTTGGTGAATGCGTGGTTGTCCCGAAGTTCATGCAGTTAAGAATATTGAGATATTTGCACCTACATTACTCACAGTATATCACGGATGCAAGCTATAGCCAGAAGTCACGTATACTGGTTTTTTATTGGCAACGTTATCTATGGTTGTGTCGCCACATGTAAAAATTATGCCTCGACAGCAAAACTTTAAAGTAAAATCATCCAACCCTGGATGCCAGCCTCCAAGCTTTGGAGGAGAATTCACGTTGCTTTCGCTTGTCTACTGCATGGCCAGTGTACCTTAATTGTGATTGTTGCGTAAACCAATTGACTGTACGTATAACTGTTGAACAAAACCACGACAGCTGCCACAGTACGAAAGTTACAACGGTTATTTACACAGTCCGGTTCACCAAACACCTTGGTTTCAGGTAACGATTCACAATTTATCTTCGGTGAATTTGGTGTTTTCTGTCAACGTAATGGCATCAAGCATCGCCGCTCGCCTCCGGTGCATCCCCAGTCCAATGCACAAGCAACAGGCTTCGTGGATACTTTCAAGCGTCCATTTCTAAAACTCGGAGGAAGGACTGACAGGAGATCATACAGCTGTTCCTGTTTTTGCTGCGTCTAACTCGATGCACCAGGCGGCAAATCTCCAGTGGAAGCGATGTTCGGGCGTGAGATACGTCTTCCGATTGATGCAGTACGTCTGAAGGTTACGCAACGACCACTCACGTCAGGCGTGAGGAAGTTTTCTACCAGATGAGCCAATGTACACGTTGGATACAAGGCCGGACGACCATACCTGGAAACTGCAGTTGTACAAAAAAGAAATGCTGCCGTGCTGTACGAGGTGTCTATCGGGTCGTTTTCTTTCGTTCGGCACTTTACTCATTTATGCGAACTACTGATCAAACACAATTTCTTCCACTTCCGAGTTACCGTTCGATGCACTGCTGGACACGTTTGAACTAGGAAAAACTGGAGCTGTGAGCCGACAGAAATGCGGACCGAGCTGTGCCGTGGAGTATCTGGGAGATCCATGCGACCAACTGAACCGATCCGACGTTTGCAGGTGAACCCAGCACTTCATTTCCACGAGTCTGGAGTACCGTGTGTCTTCAAATGGGATGTAACGCCAGGCGATCCGTTGCCTTAGAAGTACAACGTCGTCCCTCACCTCTGATCGTAAACCTCGCTATCACTCACAGCTCTACCATAGTTAATGGGCATGAGGCCGTTGTTCATGCAAGGCGGCCTATCTGATACACCATTTCACCTTATCCTATGTCGTCGGCTATCTTGCCTATTTCGTGTGTGTTATATCGGAGGTAAGAATACTCCACCCCTCCCCCGTTGTTTTGTGAGCTTTGCCCTATTCACCTCGTCCTCTTTTACGGTTCCCGCCTATGTTTTCTTTTGCCTCGCATTTGTGACTAGCTTGGGTTGACACTGAATCTTATGCTTAATGGCTTTTCCCTTACTCTGTACATTTCGATCGTTCGTAAGACACCGTATCGATTCTTCGCCCCTGTAATGACTAACTTTGCTCGATTGTCAGCCTTTCTGCATAGCCTGTGATTGATTTGCACACACAGACGCTTAGTGACCGGTTTGGCGTACGGCGTGTAACCTTGTTTTCTACCCAGTCGTTCGTGTTCTCACTACCGTTAATGGGTGGAAGCAGTCGCTTGTCTCCGACGCAACAGATTTTCTGGCGACGGAGGTGTTGAATAATCATGACTCGTTCGAGCAGTTGCAATCCCTCCTTCAGCAGCAGCATTTTTAGTTTGAAAGGTCACATCAGCAGTTATTCGAATTGCTGTCACAAAAGCTCAGCATCCAGGTGGAATGGCAGCCGGAACCGAGGCAGACATCACAGGAAATTGTAGTTGAATATCACAGTCTTCTTAGTTTGAACAATAATCCAATTGTTGAAGTTTCAGTCCCCAGAAATCAACCCCAGTTCTGTCGCGCAGCTATTAATATCCAAAATAAGGATCCAGATGTGCCGGACCAGAAGCCCCCGACTATGTTTTGGAACAAAGCTGAGAAGCATTCTAGTAGAAATTTCGCTCACAAATTTCCTCCCTGTCAAAGCACGCACAAATTCATATGCAAGCATACTCCAAGATTACAAGCAAGTTCCAACTTCCGAAGAAATCGGTTTCGCGACGCAGTAAGGGAGGCGACTTCTGCAGTATTTCGCAGACTTTCCAGGGAAGAGAAAATACCCTACAGTGAAACGCAACAATATTCCGGTATCGCTGCGACCAGAAACGATGCATACTGGCAAGGCCATTTCTCTATCAACCCAGCCAGAACTTGGCACATCGGCAGTCAAACCTAAATTTCTAGCGGTTCAAAATGTTTCCGAAATGGAAGGAATTCAGAAGCTATGTTTGCTCAATGAGTTAGCAAATCGCATCATGTCTTGCACTAATGGGGATACATATCCCGAATACTTCTGTGCTGACAACCTACTCAAACGGACACTGTACACTTGGCCTGAGCCCGAACCACCTTGATGTTGGATGCAAGTGGATCCAGGCGGATCCCTTTTTGCGAATAGCTACACTGTTCTCAGGATACTAATTTTTTTCAAGGAGGGAGAGGTGTCATAGCGGAGGTAAGAATACTCCACTACTCCTCGTGGTTTTGTGAGCTTTATCCCACTCACTCGTATTCACCCCGTCCTCTTTTACGGTCCCGGCAGACGTTTTCTGTTGCCTCACATTTGTGACTAGCTTGGGTTGACACTGAATCTTATGCTTAATGGCTTTTCCCTTACTCTGTACATTTCGCTCGTTCATAAGACACCGTATCGATTCTTCGCCCCTGTAATGACTAACTTTGCTCGATTGTCAGCCTTTCTGCATAGCCTGCGCATATGCCCTAAGTTGAATCATGTGATTGATTTGCACACACGGATGTTTGGTGGCCGATTTGGTCTTTGTTTTATCAACCCTATGCGCTATCAATCACGATTACGACACATTATTTTGGCTAATTTATGGCCTATGCTAGAACCTTGCTTCATAGTGGTGTGGCCGGAGTGTGAGCGCACGTTGGGGAAACATGCGACTCACGTAACAACGTTGTCTGCCAACAGTTAACTATTGAGCTTGTGCACATACTTCAAACTTGTATTTTGTCCTCCTCATAGACGAAATGCAGCCTACATGCTGCATGGTACCGTCTTCATAGGCTGATCTGTGGGCGCACATGCACCACAGAACAGTCAACTGGAAATAGAGGCGATTTTGCAAACTTGACTGCGAACGATGTCGACCATGTGCTCATTTACCTTTGGACTACACGAAGTTCTCATTACTGCCAGACATTGGTTTTGTCATTCTCCACTATTCTAAACTTCATTTCGTAACTTGAGTGACTTGCTTCAAATTACCCATGAAGTTACACTGACATTTTTTTACCTATTATCCATTCTGCGGTCTGTTTTTAATGTCTGTGTTTGATTTTAGTAACCTTATATCTGCGCATCTCGTTGCCACGACTAGACCACTATTTTTCCTTGCCTTCCCTTTTCAGCAACCGGACTCAGATCGCATTTCTGTATTCGTATCGATGGAACATTTTGGCATCCACTTATTTCATCATCGCTTTGCTCTGAGCTTACTTCGAATTATAGTATTTAACGTTTAATATTACCATGCCTGTAAGACCAACGAGATCGGTACATGTTTTACTATCTAACGACTAACTTTTTTAGTCTCTGAAGTCCGCACCTGTGTCTGCTATTGATGTAAGTTTTGCCCGCATTAATCTACTGCCCCTCCTAGGAATCAATCACAGATCGCCAAACTCGACGTGTGTCATTTGCGCCTGTCATATCTGTTTGTGGTATGGAAGATAAAATTTTACCTGGGTGAGTATAGCTCCACTTCACTCGATGATTTTGAAGTATTGTCCGTTTCCTAAGTTAATCTGAGTGGCTCCATTTGCTACTACCTGCAAAAGTGCACTTTTTTGCAGTCTGGTGAATTGATATGAGTGTACAGCCTTTTCCCTCACTCATTCTTCCGTTCATTACCCCGACATTCAACTGTGCCCTCTGATCGCCTGCATGTACGAATAGCGAACCATTATGAGCCTAGTCTACTTTAGTCTGTGTTGGTTTTAATTCCCTGTCCTGACTCACGCAACCACTTGCCTTCGAAAGCTATCCATCGCAACGAGACTGGACCTTAACGTGGTGCGACGGTTTGCGTACCTTATTGACCCATTGAGCTATACTGGGTGATGCCTCCGGGCACCTTGAGAGCTACTCCTACGAGGTTGGTCAATGGTGAGAGGTCAGACAAACTCAGTCTCCTGGTCCTCCAGGTTGGGGATTTGGAATGGGATGGCGTCCATTTCTGTAGAACTAAATCATTGCCACCTCTCCGCTGCCTTGCGGACACGCTTTTGAGCCAAAGGCTTTGGATGAGGACCCTAATTGTCCTCTTGTCTAGGTCTGGACGCGCTGGCCCACATACAACCATGACATTTTCTTCAAACATAAACTTCATCCTGCATCGGCCGTCGCGCAGATTATCAAGGGTCGGCTTATCTGCTGCATACAACAGGGCGCATAAGCGAAAACATGCTACTGCTGGCGCCTCCCTTCTTTCTTTTCCACCTTTTTCTCTTATTCCCATCCCGACCCCCATTACTAACCTTCCTTCTATAATTCCCAGCTTAATTGACAGCAACCGAAATGCCACTGGAGTAGAACCATCTGCAGCCACCATCCCACAGCACCTATCGGATGCCTATCGGCAAAAGTCCCTTATAAGGCCACGCTATTCTGTTTCCACGGCGACATTCAATGTGGCTGCACTCGCACGCACCTTGGACACACTGGGTATTGATGTATGTTGTGTGTCCGAAACTAGGATCAATGACCCTAACAGGGTTATTGAATTGATTGCACCCGGCTTATCCCCTCGTTATTGGTTGCACGCATCCGGAGACGCCGATGCGGCACTCACGGGTCAAGCTGGTGTAGGCATCATTCTCAGCTGCAAGGCTGAGTCATCGTTGATTGATTGGATTCCGTTGATCAGTCGTTTATGTGCAGGCCGTTTGACGACATCAACTAGCATTGATTCACGAAGTAGTACAAAACGCTGTTTGTTCGTGATTTCCGCTTATGCTCCCACGGACTGCAGTTCAAATGCTGTCAAGGACACATTCTATGACGAACTGAATGCGCTATTACGCAGTGCTACTAGTTCAGATATTATAGTACTTGCAGGGGATATGAACGCACAAGTAGGGCGTCTGAGCTCTTCAGAAGCTCAGCTAGGTGGTAAATGTGGGCTTAACTTCGGACGGACTGACAACGGTGAGCGTCTGCTGCAGCTGTGTGCGGAGCACCAGTTGTTTCTTAGTAGCACTACTTTTAGACACAGTGGGCGCCGAAGTGCCACTTGGCGTCCTCCTGTAGCTGACCAGCGATGGACCCAAATTGACCATCTTGCCATTAGTTACAGATGGCGTGGTTCCATCCTGGATTGCTGCTCGTACTGGAGTACCTGTGTCGACTCTGATCATGCCTTGGTACGTTGTCGTTTCTTCATGAACTTTACCGGGAGACACGCCAAGCGTCCCGTACGACTGGCAACTGAGAAATTGTCTCAGTCTTCGGTCAGGCAAGCCTATCAAGACGCACTGCATACTGAACTTCCGCAGTCTTCTCCTAATGACGCTGAGCTTCAGTGGAATAGGATCTCGGCCGCCGTGCACGACGCAGGAGCATCTGCTTGTGGCATTATCAATCGTCACCGCACTAATCATTGGAAACCCGAGAGGTCGGAGAACCTGTTGAAATCTAAAAGACACCTCCCGGCTAGTTCTGAACACTGTGACCAGACGGGCTATTAGACGTGAACTAAAGCAGAGCCTGCGTGCTGACAAGAAAGTCTGGTGGACCAGAAGGTCTCAGGAAATGGAAGAGGCAGGGGTAGTAGGCAATTACCGCAAGCTGTTCCAGCTTATCCGCACCATCGCTCCTAGAAAACCAGGCGTCAGTGAGACAGTCAGAGACAGCGCGGGTGCACTGATACACAATAAGGAGCGCCGTATGGCTCGTTGGGAGGAACACTTTCACGATCAGTTCAGCTGGCCTCCTGCTCCTGGACCTCTTCCTACTCAGGTGATGCAGGACGAGCCATGGACGGTAAGTTCAGAGCGTCCGTCGGAGACCGAGGTCCGAAACGCGATTACAGCCCCCAATCGTTTTCGTGCCGCTGGCCCGGATTCCTTCCCACCTGCACTATTTAAGGATTGCGGTGAGGTCCTCTGCAAAGCACTGATCTCCTTATTCGAATGTGTCTGGAAAGAAGAGAGCGTCCCGGTTAATTGTAGCGAATCGATTATAGTGGCAATATACAAAATGGGCAGTCACACAGACTGTTGTAACGACAGGGGTATTAGCCTAACGCCAGTTGTGACGAAATTACTGGCCTCGATCATCGTTCGTCGCCTCACTGCGGAACGGGGATCTCGGATTAGGGAAGAGCAGGCCGGTTTCCGCCCAGGACGTGGCTGTATAGACCATATATTCACTTTGCGGCAGGTGCTAGAGCAGCGCCACGCAGACCGCAGACCGACAATAGCTGTGTTCCTCGATTTCAAGAGTGCGTTCGATTCAGTCGATCGATCGATTTTGTTCGAACTATTTGCGCGAAAAGGTGTTCTCACGAAATATGTGAACATCCTTCGTGCTCTATACTCGAACACTACAGGCCGCGTCAGTATATATATATATATATATATATATATATATATATATATATATATATAT